ATTCAAAAACTACAAACTGTTGATAACCTTTTGAACAAGGAATTTATGAAGCAAAGGGTCATGTACATAGGACACAATGAAATGTAGAAAATAAGATGATGGTCCAAAAGCAGAAGAGTTGTTAATTCTTGGTATATTTGCAGAATAAATCATCATTCACCAGTTATCAACATAACAGATATTTAGATACTATATTCAAATATAGATGGAGATTTTTTTTTTTTTTTACTTTCTCTGAGTATGGAGACTAACAGCTAGAACCAAGTAATATAAAGTAACTCCACATTCTAAAGAGAGCCCTGGATTAAGAGATCCAGGCACCCCTTCAGGGTTCTCATTTCATAGTCTACATTAAACATTCCTATTCTGAATGTCATCTCTATCTTTACTATTACTGACAGGTCATACATTTTGCCCTGAGGTTTTTGGTAGCCAAATGGTGTTGATTCAGTGGAATAAAATCTCAAAAGTAGCATGACGTGTCTAATACTGGGTCTTAGGTCCAATAAGTACTTGACCCGTGAATCTGCATAATGAAACCTAGTTTAATTGGTAGTCAATAACATTTGTGGAGCAATACAGCAACACTAAATGGCCATTTTTGCTGTTTTTGTTTTGTTTTGTTTTTTTAATTCCAGTGTAGTTATCAGAACAGCATTAGATTTCGTTTCAGGGGTACGACACAGTGATTCAACAGTTCCATATATTTACTCAGTTCTCATCAAGAGAGGCATACTCTTAATCCTCTCCACCTATTTTATCCATCTCTATGACTCATTAGTACCTAGATTTTTCCTACCCAATTGGATACATCTCATTGCACTGAGAAGAAGTAGGTTAGTTTTGGAGGAAGCAGAGACAAGAAAAACTGGTGTTCCTTTTTGTTTATAGGCCTTCCAAGCTGACTTTGTAAAACCAAAACAAAAGCCCTACACAGTAGATTATAATAAAATACTGCCCAACTACAGAGGCAAAAAACGATAGGAGGAAGTGATCCTTTGCCCCATAACCACTGAGGCTATAGAGGGAAGGGAGTAGGTGGAGATCACCCTTGAAATTGCAGGAGGTAGAAGAGTAGTGGGCTTGGGAGGGAGGGAAAGAGAAGCCTGTAGAACCTCTTGGGATGCAAAGGAGACCTCACTGGAGGCTATCAAGTACCAGTGGGGTCAGCATAATATTAATGCCTGAGGAGAAGTCAATACCATAGATTATAGTAGTCTCCACACAACACCCCCATCTGCAGGTTCAATTTCCACAATTTCAGTTACCCACTGTCAGCTTCAGACCAGGAGTAGATAGATGATCTTCCTTCTGAGAAATGATCAAAACGTTGACAGTGTCCTAACACTACGTCACAATGCCTACATCATCCACCTCATTTCGTCTAAACACAATGGCATTTTATCATTTCACAGCATCACAAGAAGGCCGAGTACAGTGAGATATTTTGAGAGAGAGACCACATTTGGACTTTTATTATTGTATATTAAGATTATTTCATATTATTAATTCTTATTGTTAGTGTTCTACTGTGCCTAATTTACAAATTAAGCTTTGTCATAGGTGTGCACATACAGCAAAAAGTGTATATACAGGGTTGGTTTCTGCACTTTCTGTCATCCTCTGTAGATAAGGAAAAATTTTTAATAAGAATTTCACTATGCAAAAGAGCTATTTCAGCTATATTTGTTATTAATGGGTGATGAGCCTCTACTAAGAGCCCTCACAGCTCACCTTTGCATTCTTTGGGGATGCATTCTCGGAGTTGGAGAGAGAGGGTTGAACTGGGAATAGAGTATGGTGTTTTCTTGTACTTTGTTGGGGGTGGTGGTGGTGGTGTCTTTTTAACACCCGCAAGTCAGTGATGGGAAGAAACCGAAGCCTCCAAAATTTGTACTTGAGAGTGGAACTGGAAAGTGATAAAAACCTCACTCTCTACTAAGAATGAATGTATTTTAGAGTAAGAAATTCCATAGACATAGTATGTTTTTCACTGATGACCAATCACAGCAAAGTAAAGTTAATTGGTAATGAGAGTTGAAGGCTTATTAGTGTGTCTGAGACTGTACCCTATCAGATGAATTAGCTCAACTCAAGAATGATCCTGAGGGTATATGGAGGAATACATATACCAGGGATCATTCACTCCATATATCTGTCCAAGCTTTTATTTAAATACCTGCGCTAACTATGCTACAGGATTAATTTGTAAATCCACAAGTTATTATGGAACAAACAGAAAAAAGTGAGGCTAACTCCAAGGTCTAACTAGGTAACTATTTATTGCTGCCAACCAGGGGTCTAGCCAAGTAATAGATCAAAAAGGGGAGGGAAAGTTAAGCGGTCCATACTCCTTCAGAGTGCAGATAAGGCTCTTCCAAGATTTCAGTTTTAAGAGACTTGTCTGGAAAATGGGTTACAGAAGGCAAAGATGGTACCCGGAAATAGGAAGAGACAGTGAGTGATGGAAGTTGAGCAGGATATTCAAGGGTCACTCTAGGCCACTTTGGGCAAGTATGTGGATTTCTAACTTCAATTGGTCATTAAAACATTTAATTCATTTCACTCCCAGTTTTGTCATTTGAGATGTCTGTTAACTACTTTCTGCCCGGATTTACATTCAGCACCAGTAAAGAATGATTAAAGAAAACAATTCATCAGATACAAACAATTTTGCCTAGTTTCCAAATAGCCTGTCCCCCAGGTTTTTCTTTTTTTCCTTCTAAAGAGTTGTTCTTAATTTTAGGACAGTTGCTTTTCATTCCTCAAAGAATTGGGTTGCAACCTGAAAGATATCAAGGTATTTACTCAGCAATGTAACTATATTATCTTCAATTTGCTTCTTTGTATCAGGGAGAAGATCTTCAACTAAGAAATCAAAGATCCCTATTTTCTAGATTTACAGCAGTTTGTCTTTGGAATATTTTTCCTTCCCTCTGGGTATACAGTTTTATTTAGTTTAGGAAAGAAGGCTTAAAAAAATAAAAGTTCTGAACATCTGAACAGGCTCTGAACCTTACCTTCCAATTTGGTCAACTTCTAACTACAGAGCTACTAAAAAACAAACAAACACTTTGAAATATCGTGTCAGGTTTCAGCCATGGAAAACAGTAAATATTCATGGCAGTATTGAACAACTCTGGACTAAGAGGCATCCCCAAAGAAGGTGCAAAAGACCCTACCATCCCAAGATCCAGAGCCACTCCCAATGTTAAAAGAGACAAAGACAAAATAATTCCCCTGAGACCAGGCATCTGTAGGTAGGACCTGAGCTGCATACAAGTGGAGCAGAATCACTACTTCTGTCTGGTCACATTGACCTGCCAATGCTGACCATTGAGCATTTTCTGTCTTTTTTTCTTCCTCCCCATATTTTGGAGGCCCCCAACCTGACAGTTGCCAAGCCAAGTTCTCGAGACAGGCAAGGAGGTGATGGGATCAACAAATAATGGGTCTAAACTTGGAAATGAAGGGACAATGTGAAATTTTATTATCCTCTCTCGACCAGGCACTGGAGAGCTCCCTCTGGCAAGAATTCTCATTCTCCACTGGTTTCTACCAGTTCTCCCAGAATCCTATCTGCTTTGAGCAAATGGAGTTTAAGACAGAATATACCTTGGGTATCTACCAGAATTTGCTAGGTCTCCATTAATTTGAATTTTAATTTCCCCTTGGCTTTTTAAATGACTGGTCACCATTTATCAGAGAATCTCTAGGATTCCCATCAACCATCTCATCAAGTCTCGGAGGGGCCCTTAAAGGGTATGAGAGTGGCATCTATAAGACGATTAACTTTGGGCTTTTGTTTACTGTACTGTAGTCTACTTAGAGTGGAAAGGCAATGGAGACAGAGGATTAGTAGACTCTGAGTACTCAGTAAAGGTGGAGAGGGGGGCAACAGGGAGTCCCATCAGTCTTACAATCTTTTGTCTTAGGTACCTCTTGTGCCTTTCATTTTTCCTTAGCCTTTTCAAACAAATCCTTCAATGAAATTATTTTGGAATTTTGAAGCTCTTGGAAAGTTTCCGCATGCCAGTTAAAATAACCCATTCCTTTTGTTGATTTGGGATCCCTTGCTTTCAAGGGTATTTTTCAAATAAAGAGCTTGTCTAGTTGGAATGTTTTGCATAATGGCCATTGTAATTCTAGGTCATCTTGGTAATATTTTGCTGTTTTTGTAAATATTGGCGGTTTCCAGAACCATGGTTTTTAGATCTCAAATAAGCCATTATGCTGGAAAGTGGTATGGCATGCTCAGTTCTTTGAAACTTGAGGATCTCATTTCACTAAGACTTGGATTTCTCAGAGTTGAATTAATACCTAAGAAGCATGAGCTGCTGGGCTAAGGATTTTAAGGGGTTTGACAGTGCACCCTGTCTCACAACAACTTGCCTGAGGTTGCCAGGTGACCTGGTGTCAATCTAACACATCCCGTGACCAACTGATGCTAGCACAGGAGTCTCAGACCTAGGTGCTAGCACAGGAGTCTCAGACCTAGGTGGTGATAGCTCTAACAGCTTTTATGAGCTCCACCCACCAATATGATGGCTTTGGCTTCTAAAATTCCCATTAGCAAAAGATTTGTTATTCCTTTCACAAGATTTCTTTATAGTGGCTGACACCTTGATGGCTTTTCATAGTCTGTCTTGTGCCCACTTAGATTTTGATTTTGATGGTCAAGACAATCTCAATTTCCTGTGTTAATTTATTTCTCCAAGTCCCTCAAGTGATTTATGCTGTGGATTTACCTTGAGGTACTGTGACTCTCCTTATAACCACCAATGGTTCCAGACACTGGAATCCCTGTTTCCAAGTGCCCTAATGGCCGCCACCCACTGCAGACTCCCAGTTCCTGAAAAGTTTCCAGGAATTTAATAAACTCCAGAACCTTTCCAGGGTCCCCAAACCTTTCCGGGGACCATACCTATCTATTTACATAAAATTGGTTTGGATTGAAGAGCTGCAGACATGACAAAAACTCAAAACCAAAAGTGACTTACCCACAGCTCTTGGGGACAAGAAGAGCAGTGAACTCGAAGGGTTCAGCAGGTGCCTTGTCTGAGCATCTTGCCCTATAGGCCCTTAACATTCAGCTTCAAATCTCATCCCTTGTTGCCAAAAACTGTTAAAAAATGATTAAAGAAGACAATTTAAATGATACAATCAAACTTTAACACTTCATGAAGCTTATAGATTTTTGTTCTTCTTTGTCAGAGAACTGCAAAATGGGGTAGGGGTGCCTGGGTGGCTCAGTCGGTTAAATGGCCAACTTTGGCTCAGGTCATGATCTTGCGGTTCATGGGTTCGAGACCCCCGTCGTCAGGCTCTGTGCTGACAGCTGGGAGCCCGGAGCCTTCTTCAGATTCTGTGTCTCCCTCTCTCTCTGCCCCTACCTCACTCTCACTCTGTCTCTCTCTCAAAATTAAATAAACATTAAAAAAACATTTTTAATGGGGTGGAAGGCAAGTTTTTATAGGACAAAGAATAAAGAACAAGGAAGAGACAAAGAGAAAATAACTGATAGGTTGGGGTCCCACAGTCACTTTGTTTGGAGTCAGGAGGCCCAGAGCTGGCTTGGTGTTTGGGGAAAGGCTGACCATTTATCCTGTGTTTCCGGTCAGCTGGAGCAGTGCAGGGACATGGAGGTTATCTGAGTTTCAGTTTTCTGAGAGGGCATCCCAGGCAGGAACAGCTCCATCTCGGGGCCAGAGATTTATTTCAATACCACTTACTACATTGTCCAATGTTGTAAAACAAAACACAACGAAACCAAACACATCAAGTCTGCAAAATCCAGCTGTGTTTCCTGGTTGTCTCACATCATTAACATAATATATGCATCTGATAAATTAGAAAGGTATCTCTTGCAATAAAAACACCTTCACACGAAAATAAACGTTCTACAAGCATGACACATATATAAATTCGCTTGGCAGCTATGAAATCTTGGTTAGATGCAAGAAACAGATTCGTTTTGCAAGCTTTCAAAAGCTGGAAGATTTTTCAGTTTTTTATTTTCACAAACATTTTTCACAACCAGTATTCTGGAAATTGTTGAATAACACATTGTTGAGGATTACACACCTTAAATACTGGCAATACGGATATTTGATGCTGCCAGTACAGACTACTATAGAGTCCTGATAATTCCAATGGCAGTATTTTATGCAAGTTTCAAAGCCCATCAAGCACCTGTGTCTCAATCCAAGACCACAGGACCTCCACATCCCTAACATCTAAATGCTAATGACTACAAGATAAGGTGTCAGTGCACTTTTTATTTACATAACCAACAGTATGCTTGGCATTCCTTCTTTGAAGTCTCATCTTGAAAAGTCAACATCAAAGTTAACCTGTCCACAAACTAACTCTTGATTGTTCTTCTCAGCTAGCTCTTCAAATCCTACTCAAGTCCAGTAAATGGTAGCATTCTTCGCTGTGTCGTTTAATCAGGAACCCAAGAGTATCCATGCTTTCCGTCTCTTGTTTACATCCTACATGAATCAGTCAGACTTTTTACATCCTCAACACATGTCAAAATTGCCCGGTTCTCTATACTTCATTGCCAGCATCCTGGTTATAGTCGCTGCTGTTTGTTTGTTTTTTTTTTTTTTTTTTACCTGGACTATAGCAAGAGTTCTATAATGTATCACTTACCCCTCTTCTTGCCCCTCCTGTCCTGACTGTCCACATACATTAAAGGGACTAGTTTCCCCCCACAGATTATTCCCCATGCCATGTGTATGTACACCTGTGATTCACACCATCCCTCTTTTCTTCTGGCTGCTCATCACCAAGCTCTCAACTCAAGCTCCAATTCTTCTAACTAAGAAGGCTTCTTGGTCTCTCTCACCAGGTCAGATCTTTCCATTAACTCTCACAGCATCCATCATCAATCTTTTAGACAAATTCTAACATTACCATTCTATACTGACTATATGATTACTTAATTGGTATTTATCTTTCCATTAGCTCAAGCTCACGTGAGTTGGCTCATGCCTATTTGACCTCACTTCTAAGAACATCTGGCTCTCAGTGGATGTTCTAAAGCTATCAGGAGAGTAAGTATATCCTTTATGTAAGCATAAGGCCCCACAGTTCTGGACACTAGCTAACCTTGCTGTAGGTCTCTTTTTCCTTTGTCCACTCTACCCCAGTCACAACGAGCTTCTTTCACTTGCTAGAAAAGCTTTCCCAACTCCAAGTATTCCAAAGCCAGTTACTTCTACCTGGAATACTCTTCCTATAGGAAGTTGTTGATATAGGTGGCTTTCTCTCATCTTTCCATGGCCTAAATGCACCTTTCTCAGGGCTCTGTTACCTGAGCTCCTTTATAAGTTGGTTGCACTTCTTGGTTATTCTAAGTTATGGATATGTCATTATTTTCTTTATATTGCTTATCAAAATCATACTTTATATTTAAGCATTACTTATGTATTATTTCCTCCTCCTCCCCTTTATTATAAGCTTTCTGCAGAGAGTAACATTATTTCTTTTGCCAACATATACTCAGGATCTAGCACGGTCCCAGACACGTAGGCACTTAATAAATATTCCAATAAATAGCAAATAATAATCATGTAAGAACACTTATAGTTAGATTCAAGATTTTCCTCAGTAAATAATTTAGGACCTATATTCTCTCATATTTGAATGGGTAAGTCTAGGCAATAGAGTGGAAATGCTTTATGTCTAAATAATTTCAAATGAGGTTTCAGCAAATATTCACTATAGCCACGTAAAAAAGAACACACTCATACAACATCCAACATTAAACAAGGTAATGTTAGCAAACTTCTAAGCATAAGTTGAGGGGGGGGGGGGGGGAAGTGCATATTTAGTTAACCGAATATGATAGGTTGCTGTATATGGTTTTGAGCTCTAAACCAGTTCTCTATTTTGAGAAATGGCAACTGTCCAGAATAATTTATCTGAGGACTTTCTTTCCTGGCAAGATTTAGGTGACAATATCTGCTATTTCTTACAGCCAGTTGGGATCACTATATTCTACTGATTTAAGGGTGCAGGCTGTGGTTTCAGACATATTTGGATTCTAATCCAATTTCTATACTAACCAACAGCTTTGTAGAAATTTGGACAATTTGTTCAACATTTATCAGTTTAAAATAAGGACAAAAAAATGCTTACCTCTTCTAAAATTAGGTACATTACTTAAAAGATTTTCATCATGACTTCCAATTTATCAATATACACTAGTGCCCCTTGCATCTATAACACATATTATCTTTTGCTTCTTTGTGATAACAACCAAGCAGAGGAGGACTAGACAAGAGATCACCTGGGCAGGCTCCTGGAATGCCGATCTACAAATAGTACCATTTCTCTAGGATTCCAAGTATCACTGAAAATGTAGACAACTGAATTTATCAGCACACATCTCAGGTCCATTTCCTGTGTGCCAGGCAGTGTTACAAGCTTTTTAAAATTACCCTGTTGCTTAAATTCCGCCACTCAATGAAGACAAAAAGGACAAATGCTTCGCTTAGCCATCTAAGGCATGCTGAAAAGCCTTCAGAATAACGTGTCCAGGAAAGGGCAAGCTTTTATTGTGGTTGAGTGGCATATGCAAGTTTAGGGCAAAGGAGGAGTTTCTAAGGGCAACATATTCAGAGAGTACTGACCCCAGTGTCTTACTCTGGCCCTCCTTTTTGCACTGCTTGGTCTCCTTCCAAGTAAATGTTAAATAAGCATTTAAAGAATTATGTTTAATAGGTCACCATTCTAATACACTTATATTACTTCCTCCACTTTTGTTTGTTTATTTTTGAGAGAGAGAGAGAGAAAACAAATAGGGGAGGGACAGAGAGAAAAGGAGTCTTAAGCCGGCTCCATGCCTGCCAGCCGGGCAGAGCCAGAGGCGGGAAGCTGAATCCCACAGGATCATGGCCTGACCTGAAATCAAAAGTCAGATGCTCAACCAACCAAGCCACCCAAGTGACCCTCTGCTCCACTTTCAGATTCAAGTATGTGACTAACTCATGAAACTATGTTAGCAAATCATCAAAAACAAACATCTGTAAGAAGTTTAAAAGATTATATTCTTTTTTACCAAATAAAAATCATCACAAAATTCATCAAAGGACCATGTAAACCAAACCTGACTTTTAGAGTAAACATGAAATATAGGTCATTCATGAACACCTGTAGCGTGCTTTGGAATCAAGTTCATTAAACTTAGTTTGCAACAGGTTCGTCGTACCCATTAAGGAAATCAACAAAAGTCAGAAACACCATGATTTTAGCGTTTTCCTTCTGGGTTTTGAAAACGTAAACAACCATCAGAGTAGAGGCTTATGTGCTCTTTATGCAAAATATTGGCCAGAATATCTCTAATTAGCAATGTAGCAAAAAGAAAATTCAAAACTTTAGAAAGAACACATTAAGAACACAGATTTATGATTTGGATAGGGCAAAAAATTGTATATCTTACCCTAAAATAATCTATTAATATGTATTCCTCTTAGGAAGGCTCAACAGTATTTTCTCTATGGGATAGTCCTACAAAATACTTGCAAGATATATTGGTCTTCTTAAAATAAAAAAAAATTATTAAACAATGTTTTCAAAGCATTTGAAGCATTTATCTAGGATTAATACTATTCACTTCATTTAAATACTTCTGGGTTTAGCACTATATTTTAATCCGATAGTGAGAAAGTAGATTGATATAACCTTATATAATACCACACTGCAAGAAAAACAGAGGCTTTTCTTAATTTAAAATTTGTAATATCCAAAAAGTAATTAAGGAAACAAGAGCGTCTACTGCTTAAAACACAAGGTTGAGAAAAAAACTTAACAGTACAACAGTAATAACGACAGCAACATCTCCCACGTCCTTTTCCGGACCTCCGTCTCACCCACCCTGCTCCCTCCGGCTGAGACCACCTTCTCACCCCTCAGGCTCCTGGGCACCACTGAGCTGGGGGGGGGGGGGGGGGCTTCTTCCAGAACACGCTGGGCGGCGCCACGCCCGTCCGACTGCGCTTCCGTCGTCCAGGAGGCGGGGGGCGGGGATTATTACTGCCAGCACCGGGTGAAGGACACGTGGGACCTCCTCAAAGCCCCTCCGAGGCCCCGACCTCTGACGCGCACC